ACAGAGGATTCTTCTTGGACTTTGTTATGTTTTTATATGTTTTTTCCTTCATGGGGTTAAGCTGTTATACATTATAGGCAGGAGTTAATAGAGTTAAGAAATTTAACCCCACTGAGTAGATACTTTCCCTACTTCCCCCTTGCATTATGCACACCTGGAATTTTATTCATGCATTAACCGTCCTTTCTCTTACTATTTTCTTACCTACACTCATAGAATGGGGATTCAAACCACCAGATGCAGAAGCTTTGAAAAAGCTCAGAAAAATAGGCCAGGAACACCTTGAGAACATTAAAATAGAAGGAATGACAAGAGACCAAAGGGAAGCCTATCTTGGCAAGAACTATATTGCAACCAAAGTCATTATAAGAGGAGTAGAAATAACAGGGGATTGTCATGATAAAAATATAGCTCTAGTTAGGGAGAAAGTTGCCGAGGCCAGTAAAAAGGCTCAGGCACCAAAAACACATTACCAACCGATTTCTCCCAGAATAAAAAAACTCCTGAACAAGCCATTATCCTACTCATTAGAGATCCTAGGAAACTCCTTCCAGAACTCTTCTGAACCCTGCTGGGTCTGCACTTCCTTTGTCTCTACTCCATATGTAGCCATCTCTGTCCCTATAAACACAACTGATCTCTCTCCTCCCACAAACTCCTCCTTATCAATAACCCTACCTGAAGTCTCTCTCCTCAACAAAACAGTATCACAATGCTGGACATACAAATCCACCCACTTAAATACCTCTCTCTCTTGTAATAGTACCCAGACCTTAGAACTTAACCTGCACTGCAACATACACCTTCCCAGATTATCACATAATGTCTGAAGAGAAATTGCCATCTCTAATTCTGGAGGAACAAGGCATGTCCCTACCACACACAACCCACACGAAACGGGGTTCTTTCTCTTGCAGGATTAGCAGCCAGAACTGATGGCCTGACCTCCTCTGTGGTAAATTATCAGAGACTATCCAAGGCACTAAATGAGGATATGGAAACAGTTGCTGACACCATCATCACCTTACAGGATCAAATCAACTCATTAGCAGCCATTGTTTTACAAAATCGGAGAGGGTTAGATCTCCTTTTGGCTGAAAAGGGGGGTGTATGTCAGGTATTGGGAGAGGAATGTTGTTATTTCATAAACCAGTCTAACATCATAACTACTAAGGTGGCAGAAATCCAAAACCATGTTGAGCAGAGACGAAGGGAACAAGCAGCGGCATGGAATCTCATGTCATCCTGGCTCCCTTGGATACTGCCTGTACTTGGACTGTTGCTGGGGATCCTCATCCTAATAATGATAGGTCCAGTCATCTTCCAGGCACTCCAACGAGGACCAGAAAACATCCTAGTCGAAAAAACCACCGCCAGAATCCTAGCCCTCCAGGGATACCAAGAACTTCAACAGACTGAGACTCATGAGTGATACCTCTTCATAACCTCATGCCCAGCATGAGGATGGAGGGTATCAAAGGGGAGAATGAAGAAGTAAAGCTCCCCCAAGCTCCCCTTAATGCTCACTTCAGCTACCCTCCTCCTCCATCAGTTTCCCCTTCCCCACTTGGGAGTTCCTCGTTTGCACCTAGCACCCAGCACCAAGCACCCAGCTCAAGCTGCCCCCCGCTCAAAACCCCTTCCTGCCTAGACTGCCACCACAACCCCACCTAGTTTTGCACACAAACCTATAGACCCTGTAAAAACCCTGAAGACCCTATCCTTGGGGCCAGCTGTTTTAGTGCATTAGCACCAGCTGGTCCGCTAGTGTGAATAAACCTGCCTGCTTCTCTCTTCCTGAGTACTGCTTGGTTTCCTTTCTAGTTCAGTGTTGTTATTATTGTTAGGTGCCGTCGAGTCATCTCTGACTCATAACAACCCCATGTACAATAGAACAAAACACTGCCTAGTCCTACACCAGCCTCGCAATCCTTGCTATTCCTAAAGCTCATCGTTGCAGCCACTGTGTCAATCCATCCTGTTGAGGGCCTTCCCTCCATAGCCCTTGGCAATTACTAATCAGTTCTCTATTAAAATTTTGTCATTTAAAAAATGCTGTATAATGGTACTACACAGTATGTAATCTTTTGTGATTGGCCTTTTTCACTCAACATAATTTTCTAGAGAGTCATCCAAGTTGCTGTACATATCAATCGTTTGTTCCTTTTTTGCTCAGTAGTATTCCATGATGTGGATGTACTATAGTGGGTTTAACCATTCACCTGTTGAAAGACATCTGAATTCTTTCTAGTTTTTGGCTATTACAAATAAAGCAGTTTTGAACATTTGTGTGAACCTAAGTTTTTAGGCTCTGAGATAAATTCCAGCAGAGCAAGTACTGGGTCATATAGTGATTAAATGTTTAATTTTATGAGACACCAACACACTGTTTACTAGAGGGGTTGTACCATTTTACATTCCCACCAAAAATGTATAATTAATCAGTTTCTCCATATTTTTGCTAGTATTTAGTGTTATCACTCTATTTTATTTTAGCCATTTTGGTACGTGATATTTCATGATAGTTTTAATTTGCATTTCCCTAATGGCTAATAAGACGTGTAGCATTGGGAAAGTCAACTGCGAAGGAACTGTTTCAAGTGCTGAGGAGCAAGGATATCTCATTGAGGACTAAGGTGCGCCTGACACAAGCCATGATATTTCCAATCGCCTCGTATGCATGTGAGAGCTGGACAATGAATAAGGAAGACCGAAGAAGAGTTGATGCTTTTGAGTTGTGCTGGCGAAGAATGCTGAAAGTACCATGGACTGCTAAAAGAACTAACAGATCTGTCCTGGAGGAAGTGCAGCCAGAATGCTCCTTGGAAGCAAGAATGGCCAGACTTCGTCTCACCTATTTTGGTCACGTTGTAAGGAGGGACCATTCCCTGGAGAAGGATGTCATGCTTGGTAGGGTGGAGGGTCGACGAAAGAGGGGGAGGCCTTCAACGAGATGGATTGATACGGTGGCTGCAATGATGAGCTCAAGTATAGCAGGGATTGTGGGGCTGGTGCGGGATCAGGCACTGTTTCGTTCTGCTGTGCATGGGGTTGCTATGAGTCAGAAACGACTCGACGGCACTTAACAACAACAACAACAATGGCTAATAATGTTAGTAATCTTTTCATGTGATTATTTGTTTTTCACTTATTTTCTGATTGGATGTTTTTTCTTTCTGTTTTTACTCTTGAGTATTGAGAGTTCTTTATATACTCTGGATACTAGTCCTTTGTTAAATATGTGCTTTGCAAATACTTTCTCCCACTTTGTAGCTTGTCTTTTCATCCTCTAATAGGATATATCACAGAGAAAGTTTTTAATTTAACAAGGTTTAATTTATCTATCTTTCCTTTTGGTGTCAAGTATAAAAATTCTTTGCCAAGGCATAGATCTTGAAGATTTTTTCTCCTATGTGTTTTCTTGAGGTTTTATTTTTATGTTTTTGTTTAAGTCCATGATCCATTTTGAACCAATTTTTGCATAAGATGCAAAGTTTACATCAAGTTTTTTTCCCCTAATGTTGTCCAGTGTTTCCTTACTCTCTGGCAATACTACAGTTACTGTAGCTATAAAATAAGCTTTGAAATTGAGTAGATTGATTCCTTCCATTTAATTCACTTTTTTTCCCCAAGATTATTGAAGTTATTTTAAAGCCTGTTCTAAAATATGCCTTTTAGAATAAACTTATCTACATATATAAATTACCTTTCTGGGATTTTGATAGGACTTGCATTAAATTTATAGATCTATTTGGGGAAAACTGACACCTTTACAATGTTGAATCATCCAATCCATGAACATGGTATGTCTCTCCATCTGTTTAGGTCTTCTTTGATTTCTTAATTCAAAATTTTATCATTTGAAGCATAAATATCTTGTACATATTTTGTTAAGTGTGTCTGGTATTTCATTTTCATTGGAGTGATTATAAGTGGTTTGGGTTTTTAATTTTGCTTCCCACATGCTTATTGTTAGCTTATCAAAATGTGATTGATTTTTATGTGTTGATATTGTAACCTTGCTGAACTCACTTAATAGTTCTAGGACTTTTTTTTTTTTTTTTTTGGTAGATTCTTTGGAATTTTCTGTGGAGATAACATGTTATCCATAAATAGGAACAGTTTATTTCTTCCTTTCCAACCGTATGCCTTTTACATTTCACAGTTCCAAGCTCTGTGTGAGCTCAGAGCACTATCCTCTCCAATCCTCTTGGGTAATTCTTTCTCCAGCCTCAGGTCATTTCCTCACATGCAAGAACTGATCAGTACTCTGGCTTCTCCACTTTGCCTGGACTTAAAGCCATTCCTTAGGATAACATTAAGACAAAAAACACTCTCTAGAAGGGCATTCTTGAGATGCATATCCTCAAGCCAAGACTGGAGGAGATGGAGGATGAAATTTTATCTAGCTTTCTCCCATTAGCCTAATACTATGAATTACTTGTTTAGACAGTCACATGTTCATATAATTTGAGAAGTCAGGAGACAACAGCACATCAAATGAAATATCTAGAAGTTCCCCACAAATGTCTGTATGCAGCAGTAGTTAACAAAGTTCACTCGCAGACACCTAGGATACTTGTTAAAGATACAGATTTATGAAGTTTGGTAAAATGTTGATAATTCTTGAAATTTGAGTGATGAGGATGCATATACCCTTCTACTTTTTTTCATACTTTTGTCTATGTTTGAAACTTTCTATAATGAGAATTTAGAAAAAAAGAAAAAGATTAACTAAGATTCCCGGGCCAGTATGCCTGGAGTTTGATTTAGTAGCTTTGAAGTGGGACCCAGGAATCAGCACTTTTATAAACACCCAGTTCAGGTGGACCTTGGACTACAGTTTGAGAAACACAAGTACACTCATTGTTAGGAGATTCATTTTCTCTAATTGGTTGTCTTTGTGGTTGCTATTTCTGCAATTAAGATTATTGTCTGTGGGCTTGCAGGCTATAATGTTCAAATAAGTCAACTCCCTTTTCAGCCCATCAAGCTCTTACCTGGACAGTCTCTGGAGTATCTTCCACATCCTTGCAACCAAAATTATAAAAATGGAACTCTCCTCCTGTCAAACAAGCAAGCTCTTTTAAAAATCCATTTGCAATCTCATCATTGTAATTGAAGGAGATGGTATAAACAGGAATCTTTTCAGAAGCTTTGACTTGGTCTATAATCACTTCAGGTGGCTGAAATGATAAATTTTGAGGTGAGGGGAAGAAGAAGAGAAAGGAAAGGAAAGAAAAAATAAGATGTGAAAACCCTTAGTATTTGCTTTAGTGAAATTCTCAACTAGTAATTACTTACACAGTGATGAGTGGCTTCTTGTAAAGGGGTGAATTCAATTCAATAAACAAAGCAAGCAGTGCTAGACAGTGAGAGTGCAAAGATCAATAATACATGACTCTTGACTTCTGAGGGCTTGTAATTTGGTGGGGGAAAGAAGCTGAGAGAAAGATTTGGCTAAACAAGTCATTCAGCTTGGGGTGCATCTAAAAGTCCAGGTTTTAAAAGCATTGAGCTACACTTCAAATGACTTAAAGTATTGGGTCAGAAGCCATACACAGAACATTCTAGTCATTGGGCTTCCACAGAATGGAGTCTCTGGAATCTAGAGATGGTTTCTAAAGCATCTCCGTCAAAAGAGCCATTTCCAGTTAGTGCCTAAGGCATTTGATTGCTAACCAGATGGCTGGAGGTTCAAACCCACCAGCCACTCCTTGGAAGGAAGATGGGGCAAACTACTTCCATAGTGAGACTGCCTCGGAAACCCAAAGAGGGGTCACTATGAGTTGGATACGACTTGATGGCAATGCGTTTGGTTTTTGGTTTGGTTTTAGTTGCCTATTAATACCTATTCTTCTCTTTATTTTATTTTCCTATCAGAGCTTTGTTTCTTCTCATGGCAGCAATATGCCTAGTAAAAAACAAAACACAAAATAATAATAATAACACACACACACAAACTAACCATCCCTTTTGAGACTTTTTTTGTAGCTAGAGGTGGCCATATGACCCAGTTGTGGCCAATGAGATACAGGCAGATGTCCCAGAGGAGAGCTTCTCTTTCTCCAACAAAAAAAGACAAAGACTTACAAGAAAAAGTCTAATGTCCTTCCTCTTCTCCCTCCCTGGAATATAGGCAGTGTTTTGTTCTGTTGCGGTGCATAGGGTAGCCATGAGTCAGACCCAACTCGATGGCACCTAACAACAACAACCTACCACTGCATGGGAATTCCAGAACACTTAATTGAGCTCATAAGGAACCTGTACATAGACCAACAGGCAGCCATTCGAACAGGACAAGGGGATACTGCATGCTTTAAAATCAAGAAGGTATGTTTCAGGTATCCTTTCATCACATTTATTCAAGATGCATGCTGAGCAAATAACACAAGAAGATGGACTGTATGAAGAAGAACACAGAATCAGCTTTAGAGGAAGACTCATTAACAACCTGAACTATGCAGATGGCACAACCTTGCTTTCTGAAAGTGAGGAGGACTTGAAGCATTTACCGATGAAAATCAAAGACTACAGCCTTTACTATGGATTACACCCCAACATAAAGAAAACAAAAATTCTCATAATTGGACCAATAAGCAATATCATGATAAATGGACAAAAGATTGAAGTTGCCAAGGATTTCATTTTATTTGTATTCATAGTCAACACCCATAGAAGCAGCAGTCAAGAAATCAGACATCTGCTGAATCAGCAGAATCTGCTGCAAAAGTTCTCTTTAAAGTGTTGAAGAGCAAAGATGTCTCTTTGAAGACTAAGGTGCACCCAACCCAAGCCATGATATTTTCAGTAGCCTCATATGCATGTGAGAGCTGGACAATAAATAAGGAAGACCACAGAAGAACTGATGCATTTGAATTGTGGTATTGGTGAAGAATATTTAACATACCATGGACTGCTAGAAGAATAAACAAATCTGTATTGGAGGAAGTATAGCTGGAATGCTTCTAAGAATTGAGAATGGTCAGACTTCATCTTTTGTACTATGGTCATGTTGTCAGAAGGGACCAATCCCTGGAGAAGGATATCATGTTTGGTAAAGTAGGTCAGTGAAAAAGGGAAAGACACTCAATGAAATGGATTGACACAGTGGCTGCAATGATGGGCTTAGACATGGTAGCTGATTATGAGGATGGCACAGGACCAGCAGTGTTTTGTTCAGTTGAACATAGGGTCACTATGAGATGGAATTGACCACTGGACTTCTGGGCCATATTAATATAAATTCCATGCTTATTTCAGCCATCATTTGTCTGTTCTCTTTTTTTTTCCAGCAATATGCAGCCCTAATTGGCAAAGCAGGCATGAGATCCATTTAAAGATGGAGAAATTAAGGCTCAGAAGGACCAATGTGGTGGATTGAATTGTAACCCCCCAAAAGGTAAGGTGAAATTCTAACCCCTGTATCTGTGAATGTAACCTTTATTGGGGAAATGGAGTTTTTCTTTGTAGATGTTATCAGTTAAATCATATTGGAATAGGGTGGGTCTTAGTCCTAATCCCTTCTGAATGTTGTTGTTACATTCCCTTGGTTGGCTTTGACTCATAGTGACCTTATGTACAACAGAACAAAACACTCCCTGGACTTGTGCCATCCACACAATACTTGCTATGCTTGAGCCCAGTGTTGTAGCCACTGTGTCAAATGTCAATCCACCTCATTGAAGGTCTTTTTTACTGACCTTCTACTTTACCAAACACAATATCCTTCTCCAGTGACTGGTCCCTTCTGACAACATGACCAAGTAAGTGAGATGAAGTTTGGCTCTTCTTGCTTCTAAGGAGCAGCCTAGCTTCACTCCTTCCAGGACAGATTTGTTCATTCTTTGGCAGTTCATGGTATTTTCAGTACTTTTCTCCAACACCACAATTCAAAGGCATCACCTCTTCTTTGATCTTCCTTATTCATTGTCCAGCTTTCACATGCATATGAGGTGACTGAAAATACCATAGCTTGGGTCAGGCACACCTCAGTCTTCAAAGTGACATCTTTGCTCCTTAACACTTTAAAGAGGCCTTTTGCCACAGATTTGACCAGTGCAATACAACATCTGATTTCTTGATGGCTGCTTCCGTGGGTGTTGATTATTAAAGTAAAATGAAATCCCTGACAACTTCAATCTTTTCTCCATTTATTGTGATGTTGTTTATTGGTCCAGTTGTGAGGATTTTTGTTTTATTTATGTTAAGGTATAATCCATACTGAAGACTGTAGTCTACAATCTTCATTAGTAAGTGCTTCAAGCCATCTTCACTTTCAGCAAGCAAGGCTGTCATCTGTATAACACAGATTGTTATTGTGTCTTCCTTCAATTCTGATGCTTCATTCTTCTTCATATAGTCCAGCCTCTCAGATTATTTGCTCAGTGTACAGATTGAATAAATATGGTGAAAGTATACAACCCTGACACATACCTTTCTTGATTTTAAACCATGCAGTATTCCCTCGTTCTTTTTGAATAACTGCCTCTTGGTCTATGTATAGGTTCCACATGAACACAATTAAGTGTTCTGGAATTTCCATTCTTTGCAATGTTATCCATAATTGGTTATGATGCACACAGTCGAATGCCTTTGCATGGTCAATAAAACACAAATAAGCATCTTCTGATAATCTTTACTTTCAGCCAAGATCCATCTAACATCAGCAATGGTATCTCTCGTTCCAGATTCTCTTCTGAATCCAGCTTCAATTTCTGGAAGTTCTCTGTCAATATATTACTGCAACCATTTTTAAATTATCTTCAGCAAAATTTTACTTGTGTTTGTTATTAACGATATTGTTTGATAAGTTCCACATTCTGTTGGATCATCTTTCTTTGGAATGGGTACAAATGTGGATCTCTTCCAGTTGGTTGACCAGGTAACTGTCTTTCAAATTTCTTGGCATAAACAAGTAAGCTTCCAGTGCTGCATCAATTTGTTGAAACATCTCAATGGGTATTCTGTCAATTCCTGGAGCTTTGTTTTTTGCCAGCCAATTCATTCAGTGCAGCCTTAACTTCTTTCTTCAATACCATTTGTTCTTGATCATGCTACCTCCTGAAATAGCTGAACATCGACCAATTCTTTTTGGTACAGTGACTCTTTGTATTCCTTCTATCTTCTTTTGATGTTTCCTGCATCATTCATTATTTTGCCCATAGAATCTTTCAATATTGTAACTCAAGGCTTGATATTTTTCCCTTCAGTTCTTTCAACTTGGGAAATGCTGAGCATGTTCTTCCCTTTTGGTTTTCGAATGCAGGTCCTTGCACATTCCATTATAATACTTTGTCTTCTCAACCTGCTATTTGAAATGTTCTCTTCAGCTCTTTTATTTGATCATTTCTTCCATTCATTTTGGCTACTCCCCCATCAAGAGCAAGTTTCAAAGTCTCTTCTGACATCCATTTTGGTCTTTTCTTCCTTTCCTGTCTTTCTAATGACCTTTTGCTTTCTTCATGTATCATCACACAGGTTGTTGATGTCATCCCACAGTCTGTTTGGTCTTTGGTCATTTGTGTTCAATGCATCAAATCTAGTCTTCAGATTGTCGCTAAATTCAGATGGGATATAATCAAGGTAATATTTTGGCTCTTGTGGACTTGTTTTAATTGTCTTCAGCTTCAAGTTGAACTTGCATATGAACAATTGATGGTCTGTTCCACAGTCAGCTTCTGGACTTCTTTTGACTAAAGATACTTAGCTTCTCTATTGCCTCTTTCCACGGATGTAGTCAATCTGGTGAGGTCCATGTGTATAGTCACTGTTTATGTGGTTGAAAAAAGGTATTTACAATGAATAAGTCATTGGTCTTGCAAAATCCTATCATGCAATCTCTGGTGTTATGTCTATCACCAAGGCCATATTTTCCAACTACTGGTGATTTTTCTTTGTTTCCAACTCTTGCAGTCCAATCACCAGTAATAATCAATATATCTTGATTGCATGTTTCATCAATTTCAGACTGCAGAAGTTGGTAAAAAAATCTTTAATTTCATTATATCCAGTCCCTTCTGAATAGTGTCTTGTAGAAAGGGAGAACAGATATGAAGAGAGAGGAGACATATGGAAAGAAGAAAGATGCCACATGATGACAGAAGCAGATGCATCCATAAGCAGCAAAGGAACACCAGGCTTGCCAGCAGCCACCAGAAACTAAAAAAGTAACTAAACTAAACTA